GGGCGACCTATGGTCGGTCCTCCAGGCGGTCGGGTTCGGCACCTCCTTCTTCCTCACTGAGCGGCTGATGGCGCGCGAGCCGGGCATGGCGCTGCCGATCACCGCCGCACAGTGCGCCGTCTCGGCAGCCTTTGCAGGGCTGTGGGCCGTAGCTGACGGGAGCGGCCTGATTGGCGGCGGCGGGCTCGGCTTTGGCGGCGGCGAAGGCGCGTGGCTCTTCGACGAAACGAAGCGCGCCAGCTACGCGCTGCCCGGCCTCCTCGCCTCTGAGCAGCTCCGGCCCGTGGCGCTGGCGGTGGCGTGGACGGGCCTGGTCACCACTGCCGGAAACCGCATCGGAGAGACGGTCGCACTCGGCCGCGTCGCCTCCGCCGAGGCGGCCGTCTCGCCTGGAGCCGCCCCGCAACTGTGATCGCTTATCGTTGACCAGCTGGTGGGCCGTAGGCGTCCGTCCTGCTGGCGACGGAGCCGCTCTGGGCCGCGCTCTTCGCGTCGCTCCTTCTCGGAGAGAGCGTCAGCGGCTGGGACGCGGCGGGCGGTGCACTGCTCGTGTCTGCGTGCCTCGCCAACGCAGCCTCGCCCGAGGCGCTCCGTGCTTTCCTCCCGGGGGGCGGAGGAGGGGCGGCGGCAGCGCCGGGGAAAGGTGAGATAGGGGCCGGAGGGGAGAGGAATTGAAAGCAGTGGCACCGATTTCATTTTATGGTGTGGGAAGAGAGAAAGAAGAGGGGGGGGGGGGTAGAATAAATAAATAAATACAACGGACATCCCAAGCTAGGGCTGGGTCGAGGACAGACACGTCCCCACCTTTGCAGGATTTTGCAAAAGCGAGGGGGGAGGGCGCATCGCCGCGCGGAGAGGGCTGGGCACAGGGCACAGGGGATCTCTCTCGCATAGGATATGCACTCGGCGGCACGAGGGCAAGGCTGGGCGTCCTATGTTTGTGCTCCCCCCCGGACCCCTCGCTCTCGGGCACTAACCATCTGACCACTCATCGACGGGGCTTGGCGAGCGGCCGCGCTGCGGGGCAGGGCTGGTGAGGATGGGCTCTGGCCACTCGCCCGTGCGGTTGTAACCGCGCATCAGCCGAACGGAGGCCTCGACCGCCCCTCGCGGCAAGCTCTCGAGCATCTCGAGCAGCTCTCCCGCCGCCATCGCCGCCTCGAACTGCTCCCTCATGCCGAGCCTAATAAATAAATAAATAAAACGGGCACGCCAAACGAGGGGTGGGAGAAGGACAGGGTCCCCACCTGCACGAGCAGGATCTTGTAAGGACGATCAGGGACACAGGGGAACGGGAGCGGGGAGCGCATCGCGACACGGAGGGGGGCTGGGCAGGGTTCACCCACACGACAGGGTCCCAGGGATTCCTCTCTCGTATAGGACAGGTTGCACCCGGCGGCACGGGGGCAGGCGCGGGCCTCCTACTGGTTGCGCTCTCCTAGTTCTCACCTGCTCCTGACAAGGGACAGCGACAGGCTCGCAGCACGGTGGACTCCCTATTCCACTGGCGATCTCTCTCGACTAGCGACCTTCCTCCGGCTTCTCACCAGCAGTCTCTCACTACCACGGGCACACTGACAGAGGCGGCCAAAAGGCTCACGTGGGTGGCAGGGCGGTGATAGGAGCCTAAAGAAAGAAAGAAAGAAAACAGACAACCCAAGGGAGGGATGGGAGGACGGCACGCCGCCACCACACAGGGATTTTAAGGAGAGGTGTGTGGTGCGCTAGCCGTCGCCCACCCTAGGGAGTCTGCCTCTTCCTATCTCTCTTCGCAGTCTCTCTCCGACTCTCGCTGCAACCTTCATGCCACCTCGCGGTCGTCCCACTCTCGTCGTTTTCTCCCTTGTCATTTCCTCCTCTGTCGCGTCGTTCCCTTCTGCCTCGTCCTGTGACGCCGCCGCCTGCCGGTCCCTTGTTCTCGCGGCTTCTTTCGCCTTTCGGCGCAACTCCGTCCTCCTCGCGGCGTATCCTGGCCCCTCGAGTTTATCGAGCTCCCCTCGCGCAAGGACCACGTTTCTGACTCCCACTCCGATCATTTGCCTACAGGTCATGTTGTTGCTCAGGTCCACTCTCTCTTCGAACACTTGTGCCTCTACGGATGATGCCGGCGCTGGGGTCCCCTTCGGATGCATCGTGACATCTGACAACTGGATTTCCACTGGTTCGTCCTCCTCGGAGTCATCTTCCCCGTCCTCCTTCCGCTCGGCTCTTCGCTCGGTACGTTCGGTGTGGCTCACCCTCCATGCCGGAACAGGCGCTTA